TGAGGTGTGTGTGTGCTATTCAGGCCACGAGCGAGGCAGCGTCTAAACTTACAATTGACCTTTAAGTCTACACGCCCACCCAACCCCAGAGACAGAAACTCGGTACACCAGCACATGCATGATACACATCGCACACCACATGAGCACTGCCAACCCAAAAAGGACAAACTGGGAAGACGAGACAGCTCAGCCATAAAACGCCATACAGCAGCAACACCATACCAGGGACGGCGTGCAACGTGTACATGAACCACCTCCACATAACTACCGCGGCACGTTAATCATTATTAATATCATGCCTCTGTGGCGGCGCGACTGGCTTCTTCACCTTGAAAACAAAAGATCTGCGTTCGATTACGGCATGGAAAATGACTTTTATCAAGTAACTTCGTCTTTTTGCGAGAATACTCCTAGCCTGTAAAGTCCGAGTTGGCAATTACTAGCAGGACAGAAAACGCTTGCCTCCTATAATATTACGATAAAATGTGTCTATCATGATGAAAAAAAAAAGACAGCTAACGATAATAATCACCGGAATTTTGACAACTACTACCCAGCCTGTATTATGCGTATCAATTCCACGTGACACCGTTCAGTAACACCTCGGCCACATGTGACACATTAAAGGGTGACGACTGTCCACAGCTATTACTATCTCACGTACCTACAAAGGTCAGAGGTCACCGAACAGTCAGAGTCGTGAGACCTAGTCCCAGCCTCTCGGCGCGGGCCTATAACTATAATGGGAGGGAATAAAATCTGGTGAAAGTCAACTTTTTTGTTGTTGCTTTAATACTTGCAGCACAATTACGTCATACAAAATGTATAAGAACCGGATATTAGATGTGTGTTACTGTTACTAGATCTAGATCACAAGTAAGTAACATACAGATTTAAAAGAAGGAGGATGGCTAAAGACGATAGATCTTTGATAGGGAAGAAGGTGCAAACCATACCAGAGCATCCGCCAACCACCAACAAAATGAACTTCAGCCCTCCATTCGGAATTTACTTGACCTACAACGTACACACCCGAGGTCTCCACTCTCAATGGGATCACATTTGGGTCGCCGATACATCATTCGAGAGAGACCCTTACTGTAACCTATTTTTCAAGAAAGGCGCGACGAGGACGGGGGTGTCGAAATTTACTTTTTAAACCTGAGACATCCACAGAAACAATCGTCCGTGACGTGGCTAAGTGATTAATAATTAGACTCAACTCTACAAACATAGTACAGAGGCATGTGTGTGTGTGTGTGTGTGTGTGTGTGTGTGTGTGTGTGTGTGCGTGCGTGTGTGTGTGTGTGTGTGTGTGTGTGTGTGCGTGCGCGTGAGTGTGGGGGGGGGGGGCTTCTCTTTCTCTTTTCAAAGCCTTGAGATAATGCTACTTTAACATAAACATTATTACACATACGTTAGGTATATTTTCTCTTACTGTGAAGATAATGGACAAAACGGAACCCGAGTCTGTAAAACAATCATGATCCTTTGGCTTACACTGTGACAGCATCCTTGAAATAAGCGTTCACTTCGAACGGAGAAATTCGATACACCAAACATCCAACAGCAAAAACCAAATTCAACACCCCTCTCTCAAGCGAGAACAATACTACTACTATCACCATAACAACCCCCCCCTCCCCCCAAACCATATTGGCTGACTTTTCTTGTCGTCATCCCCGTCTCTTCTTTCACACATTTGACAAACATGAACACTTCAACTGCAAGGGTTGGTAGTTGGCAGGCGCTCTACTGTGGTTTGCTCCTTCTTTCCTATCAAAAAGCGATCATCCTTATCTTATATCTCCTCCTTCTTTTCTTTGTACGTTACTCTCTTCGGTCCTAATACACGAACTATTTGTGTTGCAACGGCAGTTTAACTTTCCTAAAACTAAACAACAGCGAAGAACAACCGTTCTGTCCCTCGGGGACATCCGCACCTACAAAACGGGAGTCCCATTTCATTTGCAACCAAGACAAGTTGCGAGTCACGCTCTTGTTATTTCCTGTCCCCGACGAATCCGCCCCCCCCCCTCCTTTTCTCCCAATAGCCCAGAATACACGAGCCCTCTAGGCCACGGAGACGATCTCAAAGTCAGAGCTCTGAACACAGGACACCCCCTCCTCGGTAGAGCTGCCATATAATCTAATCATAGTGAACAACACAATCACGTAATTGTACCTCCGTTATTCAACATCGCCCAAGTCTCTAACCTTCTCCTAGGGCTGGCAATGTCATAATCCTCCCTCCCCTGTCACGTTGCCCGAACTCTTACATAGAGACATTTATTAAATGAGAACAGAATTAACTGTCTCAGAGGAAAGGGGGAGAAAAATATGCACATTATAAACACTACATAAGGGGGGGGGGGGGGGGGGGAGAAAAATATGCACATTATAAACACTACATAACAACATGGCCACAAGGGGAAAAAAGAAACACAGGCAGACAGAAACAACAAAAGAGGGAAGTTATAGAGGTATAAGACCCGGTAAACCTTCCAGTGGCGGAATTGATTCTACCAAGACCTCAGACGAACATAATACATTGCACAAAAGTGCTGTCTACGCTGACGGTATTCTTTGGCTTTGGATTTTTTGTCTTTTTCTTTTAATCTTTGCTATTGTCAAAATTTGCATTGCACTTGTTTCTGCTTCGCTGGACACTTATTGTGTCTGGAGACCGACGTCTCGGCTGAAATGGTTAGTCTATTCGCCTTGCAAACACATGACCGGAGCGTAATCCCCAAAAATTAGTGGGGAAAATATTTTATCGGGTATCTCGTACATTTTCGTTTTTCTGCTGGGATACACAACCCCACGTAAAACGGTTGCTCCTGACAGACAGGCACAAATCAGTCGGCTCCCTCCTCCTCAATGACCTAAAATGCTGTGGATGGGGGTGTAAAACATTCATTTAAATAAGGAAACGTCACATCTAGCTTTCACGGCCATCGGTCAATGACCTCTGTGGTGGGCCTACATGAAACGAGCTGAGACGTCTCGTTTGCTGTACACAAGTTCTCACACATCTATCAGCAAGAACCAAATTCAACACCTCCGCTCCTCAAGCGAGCGCAATACTACAGCTATCACCATTTACTCATTTACCCCCTCCCCCAAATCAGGAAATGTTCTAGACTTAATCAATCCCCATCTGTCGTGTCGTTGACGTCACAGATACTACAACTACAACTGCCACCTTAACAAGTTTGTACACGGTATTGCTTACTTTTAAGAACAAACATGCTAGATCCTACACCGAAGACTGTGAGCTTAACACATATAAAAGACTTTCAGACTTTGGTGTTTTTTTAAACTGTGATCAGAACATGGAGCCTAGTTCTTGTGTTTTCATACTATAACTCAATAAAAAATTATATATTTTTTTGAGCAGAGGGGAGGGGAAGCGTCCAGTAGGGGAATTCTTTAAGCAACTCTCAACACGAATTAGTAAAACACACAATCCCATGCCATTTCCGTACATACATAAAAGTACGTCGACACGACATCCTGTCATTAAACTTGATGGACCCAGAACTTAAACAAGGTCAGTTGGGGAAGTTGGAGCCACCATTGGCGCCCTTTAGCTATCATCAGGTCGATTTTGAGAAAAGATGTTAAAGACGAACCAACAAATATTTTAATTCTACAGAAACCTTGAGTTTGAGAAAGACATTATACATTCTTATTGTATCGGTGCAATAATATTAATTCCCTGTCAAGAAAAAAATTAATAAAAAAATTTAAAAAACCCAGATTGAAACAACAAGGGATAACAAAGATGTGGGGTCTTCAAGTCCTTCGCATCCCTCAACCACCAGTAAACAGGACTTTTCAAAACTGCCTGAGATAGTGGACGTCCTGGGGTTTGTTCACAGAGGAAAGATTTAAAGAAGGTATCGTGTGCACAGTTTGGAAGACGGGCCAATATACTGAGAGAAAATGTGAAGTGACTAATGTCCAAAATGTGTGAGCGTGTCTGTGAAGTCTGATTAAAAACTGATCACACAGTTATTCCGAAAACAGCAGGAACCAAAAAGAAAAGAAAATCCTTAATTTGTCTTCTTATTTCTGCAACCTCTCTGAACCCAAAACCCAGTAAAACTGAAGAAAATTCCATGGTCCTGCAAATTTCCGTTTTAAAAGCCAACTCTACTGGATCTATGCCATGCATATATATATATATATATATATTATTAACATTATTAATATGGAGAAAAAGAGCATCCCGATCAAGCCCGGAGAGGCCCCCGGTTAATCCCATCAACTGTATGATTGGCGGTTTTCAAAAAGTGTGACTATAACAAACCGAACTACTGTCAAAGAACAACTTAATAAACACAGCCTGCACCTAGCTCAGTCACTAAAACCATACAGACTTCAGAAGTAACAGGAATCATTATAAATGTTAGCATAAATCCAGACTATGGAAACAAAATCTACTTGAAAAGTAGAGCATATCAGGCGCTTGACTCTACTCTTTTTGACTTGAGGCACCACAGCACTATTCAACTCCCAATCCCCCCTCCCCCTCCTCTCCCCTCTTCAAAAATTCCCTAAATAAACGAGATGGCCTGACCTACTCTGTCCCTGCACAGGTCAATTATTTTAATGCTCACACCAGCACCAACAACTAAACATATTTTGAAAAATAAAATTCCTTATTGCTGGGAGATAATACATGCTTTATCAAAACATCACATTACATTCACTCTGAATTCATTATATTAATGATTCATTAAATCACATATTCAGAAACCAGTACAGAAAAACATAAAATTCAAAAATAAATTTTTAAGGGTGTAACAGTACATTTTGAAGTATACTTTTACAACAATATCAGCAAAGTAATTGTACAAACACAGACAGGTGCAAGCAAAGAAATCCACACGCTACTTTGGTAGAGAGAAAAATCTTTAGGAAAAAGATATGGCAAACAAGAAAGAGGTTAAAGAAGGGCAGTTTGGTACGAGTCACGTTTATAATTGAATCATAGCTTGTTCCAAACGCCTGTTGAAAATGATGTTGTGCAAAATATGTTGCAATGGTGAAAATGGAAAAAAATAATAGATGAATGAAAGCCCTCTCACTGCGGCTCAAGAAACAAGTCAAGAAAAAAAGTAAAATTCAGGCAGAAACCAAAGATGAAGGTGCATGAGGACGGCTGAAGATTTAAAGTGGAAAATCTTTGCTCTCCAATGCTGTCAGTGTCAGTTCTTGTCAAGAGATCAGACACTGTTTATGGGGGAGACAAGGGAGAGGGGTAGGCACGCCACATATATACTGAACTGTGATCACAATCCTCTGAGTAATACTACATATTATTATGATTTCACTCTTTAAAAATCTAGGAGGCAACAAGGTGATTGATTGAAGCAGACCTGTGAAGCACTCAGGAAGTGCCGGAGTGGCCAGAGTTGATGCTGCTGCGGGTGCGGTTTGCCTTGAGTCGCCAATTAATCCGTTTGATCCAGTCCTCCATATCCTGATCTGATACAGAGTACAAAAGAAATACACGCCACCCCATGTCCAGACGAATCACACAGCTCTTGTCTTTTTGGGAAAAATCCTGACAGCATTCTCTGCACTCATTTAAATCAAGAACTCGGATGGGAGTCTTGCTGAACTTCTGCTTGAAGTACTTAAGTTCGTTGCGCTGAAGTACAAACCAGCGGGTCCGCCACGTTTTAAAATGACGTCCTAGTTTGGTGAGAAATCCCTCTTTGGAATTGACTGAGAAGTCCATATTGTTCCGCTCTGGCTCGTTGGCAGTGCTAAACTCAGCATGTACAGTGACACATTCGTACATGTCAGGCTCTGAAATGTCCCGTGGGTAGGGGATCTTCAGCAGGACTACTTGGCCTGACTCACCACACAGCAGTGGTTTGTTCTTGAAGTGCTCAACAAAATCGGCGGCTGAGTTAAATTGGCACTGGCCAAACCTGATCTGGCTGCCTGTCCAAACTATGTTGAAATGTTTCACTGCCTGCTCACACTTGACGCTGAGGGCATACTCACCTTGACCTTTTGAGCTCGGCCGCAGCAGGTAGGTACCATCAGTGCCATTCTGCATGAGCATGCTCTCCGCTGTGTGTCGGCTCAGGGTTGGGTGGTACCAGGGCAGGTTTTCCACCTCAAAGGTGTTCAGATCCTGCTCTGACATGTTCATCGTGCTGCAACACGATTACTATACAGAGCCTATGTTGTAACAAATTTCAAGTCTTGTTTGACAGTTTTTAAAAAAGAAAGAGCAAAATAAATCTCACGCTTTTGGTACTTCAAGTTTTTCTTCTACAAGTCTTCAATGCAGACACAAAACCCTCATGTTCTTTGCCATGGTTCTGAGGAATAAAAAAACAAACCATAAATGTTAAATACAATTTGTTACGAAAGTGTTATGATTATGAGAAGGGAAAAGATAAGAGGGGCAGTAAGAAGTCTAACTATGTTTCTGTAATCTCCTCATACAGTACCCCAATCAAAATTCCTCATCTTCCTCTGGAATCCTGGAGGCAGCTGTACTCCTCTTAGTGGTCCTACATTTACAATTTAGGTTGTCGAGTGCCAGAGCATGATGATGGAGAGTAAGGGGAAATAGGTAGGACAGGGAGGTCTACTGGAACCATTAATTTTTCTGCCTTCATTAAATTCTGGCTCCTGGAAAATGCTTCAAACATTGTACCATATATTTTGTAATGTGTCCAACACAGGGTCGGTCCAGCATAACACTGTCACTCATTACTAACTTAACTACGTACGTAGTCTAAACAGCCGTATGCACTGCTCACAGCCGAACGCTCCGTATCCCGGACTCTAGCATGGAGATCATCAGGAGAGAATGCGTCGCTGTTTCGGGCTCTTCCTCTCTACAGTTTTTCTGACGCACCGAGCCCCTTCACCGATGTGAGGTCTCCATGTTAGTTCGACTGTTTTCCTCTGCTGCCAACTTTAGGATTCATTCCAGCCTGCGTCCTCTCGTTTCAACCAGATCCAGTGACTGGCTTTCTCTGCTGTCTCCAGAAGGGAGTTTGTGAGTTTGTTGCTTTTCTTTGAGGTAAGTCCTGCCACTCTCATCCATTTATAGTCGCTTGTTGCTACAAAACCTCTGCATCCTACGTCTACCGGAAAATGGGTTGCCTTCCATCCTGCCTCCTAACATTGTTCGACGAATGCCTCGTAACGGTTTTCTTTCCGCTCATGAGCGGCATAGATATTGTCCTCGTGGGGCACCGTGAACTCTACCAAGTTCACCTCTTTGTCTTTTTCCTCCCATAACACAATGTCTGGCTTTTTCGTGGTTGGAATGGGGAAGAATCTCTCAAAGCCCTTTAAGTCAGCGGATACCTCCCATGTGCCTCCGCTCTGGTCTTCCATGGCTTCATTCGCTTTATTTCTTTTGGTAACCTTGCTTCCTTGCGGAACGAACGCAATCTTGGTGAGTCCATGCTTCTGTATCTTGGGGGCATATTTTCCTTCTTCCACCTGTTTTGTCGCCATTGTCGTGAGCACTTTCAGCACCTCATTGTGCCTCCAGGTGTATCTGTTAAGAGCCAGGTTGCAGTTTGACAAAATATGCTTCATGGTTCCTAGCTTACCGCATCTACACTTGTCCTCCTGTACCTTCCATCTGACAAGGTTCACCGGTGAAGGCAGAACATCATACGTAGACCGGAGAAGAAAGCTTAGCCTTGATGTATTCCACTTCCAGATGTCACTCCACCCGACTTTTCTTTCCACTACATGCTCTTCCCATCTGGTCATTTGTCCTTGCTGGCTACACTGGATGAGATGAATTTCTCACCTCTCTGCCTCCATCTTATGCATATGTCTTGTTGCAGCTTTTCTTCTGTCTTGCTGAGACATTTTCCTGAAAGGTCTAAAGTCGTCATTACCTAGCCCTAATCTGTCAGGTTGCGCTGGACCGACAATGTCACCATGCCTAAGTCAAGTAAATTTTTAGCAGTAGGCCTATGTTTTTGCTCACACTTGCGGCTTCTACTGACTGACCATCTGTCAAGTGTAATGGCATGAAATACAGTGATTTAAAAACTCCACCAATTCATATTAATCTTCTTGAATAGAATGATAAGATAATCAACAAGAACAGTATACATACGATACTCCTTCAGCCACTTTATGGTATACAAACAATGGATTCATCTATCCCGCACTGATCGTACAACTATAATACACTATACATTGGTAATGTTACCATGCGACAGTGTTGGTAATAGAGTGGCCCTAATCAAAGCAAGCTTCACGGCTTAACCAAAGGCTGCAGTTTCTTTGGTGGAAAGGCCTGAACTACAGTTCACAGTGCCTTACACAACATGCAAACTCTGTGGGAGACAGTGCAGAAACAAAAATGGAATCTAAAAACGAAGGGAATTGAAGGGGGAGGGAAGATGGCTATTGTTCCAGGAAGTGTAATTGATTGACTCTTTGAATCCGGCTTCCCACTTAAGTGGTATTTTTGTATGTGTTTCACTGGCGTTATGGCAGTACCAATATCATTAACACCAAGATGTACGTACACCTGATCCTCCATTACATTTACTAATAATTTTCACCCATACTGAGACCCCTTGGCCAATAACAAATAGTTTGAGTGCTGATGCAAACAAATCCATCAATGTTTGACTGAATAATATAGTTGTTTTAAAGTAACACCCTTCGCTGCTGGGTGTGTAAAATTGTGGAATCCCTTGCGTACCGAAAGAGGTAATTGGTCACTTTTATGAATGTTACGTAAGAACAGTAGTAACAAGTAGCCTACCTCCTTATAATACCGAGTATATGAGCAACTCCAGTAAAACTGAGCTGAAAGCCTATTAAAAGTACTATATATATATATAGATATAAGCATATATTGAGAGCTCAGTCGGTAGGGTATATTTTTTACTCACAGACCTGTCTTACCTTTAGAAATAGTCTAAAATACTTCTCTTGTTAATTCTTATCTCCGCTTTACATAAATTTTGACTTAATATCCACTGCAAATTAGTTTATTAGGTATTGGATATTTTTATACTACACAAACAAGGGCCTATATCATAATAGAAGGATCAAAGGCATAGCAATATTTGATTTGCTTTTGACAAAAGGGGGGGGGGGAGGAGTGTGTGTTCAGGGGGGCATTTAATTTTTAAAAGGGCGCTCTCTTTGGCCATGACTCAGACTGTTACAAAAGAGATACTACTGACGGTAAATTTTTACTTTTAGACCCGCACGCAGATGCATTGTTTTGGGGGGTTAAACTGCCATTTTAATTTTTGCTGCAGAACACACAGATCTAGATCTATGGCCACTAAAACTTTTGTAAATCAATTGTTGGGGACTCTCGTTGCCTAGAGGTTAAGGTGTTGGCCTCTCATTCAAAGGTCCCGGGTTTGAATCTGGGTTGCGATTGAAAAATTTCTTCTCCAAAATTGTCTCCTTTCACCTCCTTTCCTGCTCTCTAGCACAATCGCAATGTTCTGTCGTATGCTTTCGTCTTCTCTTTCTGCCCCCACCCCCTCACCTTCTTTGCCCCCTCTTCAGGGCTTCTGACTCTTTCTGCAGCCTTTCTACAATCTACTGCTACTTCTTGGCTCTTTCTTACGGCTGTCTTTCAGCCACACCCCTGATCTTCTGGTAGGAAAGATCTACAACTAGCCTTCTCGGACAGGGGCAAAAAACCTCGGAGGGCCCGTTCGCAAGTTACGCACATTAAAAATCCTTAGGTGGTCTAAAATCGATAGAGTAGGCTTCGGCCGCTATCCAGGCAAAATTCAAAATTTCATCTATTTATATATGACCTTGTCCTTATGAGGTTGCGACTGGCATAAAATACTTACCAAAAGAAAGAAAAGAAGAAAATCAATAGTTTTCAAGAAAATACATTCTGTCTGCAGGCTACATTCACGACGCCATGAAGGTAGTTGGTAGGCTATGTTCAAGGTGCCCTGAATGCAGTTTGCAGGTGCTGTTGAGGTTAATTCATGGTACTCAAGCTTCGTTTAGACGGAGCGTCCACTGCTGGAGTAAGCTTGTTTTAGTCAGTGACGACAGTGACGTATCTAATATTTTGGCCTGCTTCAAGCATTCCAAAGGAAAACGAAGCAGTGATCCTTGACCGATCTACCAGCTCGTCGTTTTCCCTTATAACTGAGCTCTGGCTCAGAGCTCGCCAGTGTAAGGGAAAACAACAAACTCTCAATTACGCAACAACGCATTAGGATGACAAAAATGTACACACCTACCAAGATGTTTCAATTGCCCTATCTTGCGTCCGGGCGAGACTTGGGTGCGACCTTATGATAGTGCGTGACAGCCCGTGATATACGAGCGCAAACAAGCATTCCAGTGCTCTTGAGTTGAAAGCGTGCAATTTTGTCTGTGGGCAGTTGTTAGAGAGAGAGAAAGAGAGAGAGAGGGAGAGAGAGAGAAAGAGGGAGGGGGAGACAGACAAACAGAGACAGAGAAAAATAAAGATAGAAAGGGGGGGGGGGGGGGGTAAGAGAAAGAGAGAAGGAAAGAGAAAGGGGAGAGACAGACAAAAAGAGAGAGAGAGAGAGGGGGTCCCATTTTCCGAATCCCACCTTCAGTTTCCCATCTCTCACCTTTTGTTTCCCAAGTACCGTGTATCCAATTTTCCATATCCTATATCCCGAATTTAATACTCTAAGGGCCCGGCTGACTTAAACCGGCAGTGGATGCTCCCCCTAAACGAAACTTTAGTGCCGAGAATATAGCCTCAACAGCGCCAGCAAACTGCATTCAGGATGCTGAGAACGTTAATTGCAATAAGGGAGTGTGTATACAGAACCGGTAACCAGGACATACAGACCCGGTAGGGGACATCCTTTGTGATTTCAGAAAGTTTCAGCGCCCTCTTGGCTCAGGGTAGACCTAGATCTAGGTTCTTCTCTAAAGATCTCTATGGCCTAGGTCTAGATCCAGAAAGACAGACTGATCTAGTTTCAAGGACTAGAATCTAGATCTAAATGAAGATTGCGGCATGTCTTTTCGATAAAGGATCGCTTTTCTTCTGTTTTGGAGTTGGAGGAATCAATAACACAATTTGAAGAATTAAAAGAACAATATAATGTCATAATTTCAATCGAGCAGTCACCCCCTTTATTTCTCTGTCTCTCCCCATCTCTCTCCTCTTTCTTTCTCTCTCTCTCTCTCTCCTCCGTGTATCGCTCACCTTCTCTTTCTTTTTGTTTGTCTCTCTGTCTTTTCTTTCTCCCCCACCTACTTTCCCACTCTTCTATCTTTCTCTCGTTCCCTCCTGTCAACTGGGGCATGTCATATTTGTTAAAACTTCCCCCTGACCTCTACCCCCTCCTCTCTCTCTCTCTCACACATGATACAAACACGAACACACTCTACCGGGTCTGGGCGCTGAAACTTTCCGAAGTCACAAAAGATTTCCCCTACCACCAGGTCTGTATACACTTCGATAGCAAATACATGACATCAAATTATGGTGAAATACAGGGGTGCTCCCCAGATGACACCCCCCCCTTAGAGATCATATAGGTCTACTTTCGACATTCTCGTCTTCTTAGTATTTTCAGTAAGTCATTAGACCAGATCTAGTGATCTAGATATATCTAGATTATATTATAGATCTAGAATCTAGAGATATATTATATTAGATTTCTAGTTCTTGGTAAGATTGAAGAATACAGGACCAGCGGACTGACTTTGCTTATATCTCAACCATAGGAATTCATAATTTTCCCGTTTTTAATCTCTCAATGGAGAATCTCGGACCGGTAGATCTATCCATTAAAATTTTGTCAGGGGCAGGGGGGAGACCCCCCTGAACCTCTCCTCCACCCCAACCACCCGCCCCACCTACCCCACTTTCTCGCGCAATAATGTACGAGTGGTCCGGTATTCTTCAATCTTCCCCTACTTCTTTACCTTTGGGCAATAAATAGGAGGGTCAACAGGGAATACAATGTCTGTACACTACTAATCTGAAAACTGCACAACACCCAAATTACAAATTTCCTCAAGTTATAATATATCCCTTCTCTATATCTATATATGCAAATAAAAACACTGTCCACTTATTTCCACTAGTCTAATTTAACTCTAGAGTCTAGATCTAGATCTAGCCTCGGCTAATAAAGTAATTTTTTAGCAGTAGATCTAGACTAGATCTACGTGTATGAAGTGTGTAAATGCTCACACTCACACTTCTACTTGCACTTGCGGCTTCTAATCTACCGACTGACTGAAGTGACTGGTGTCCATCTGTCAAGTGTTAAGACAAGAAATACAGGGATTCAAAAACTCCATCGATTAATATTTTCAAATATTGGGCCTTACCTTACGTCATCCAGTCAAGATCAAATCACAGCAAAATTGTATGAACAGATTATGTTTCACTAGAAATCCACCAAATCCGCAGTGCAAGCTATCCAGTCCTGTTCAAGGGAAGTTCTGCTCTGCCAATTCGGACTGAGAAAGGAAAACAGAGGATTTCCCCATCCAATTTCTTAAAAAACGAATCTTTTTATCAGGAATTCAATTAAAGTTATGACTATCTTTCTCACAAATAAAAAAACACCACTAAGTCTTTCAAGAATGTACAAACTCCAAATTTGTTTATAATCCTGCTAAAAAAGGTATACAATATAAAATTAATCAGAATTAATAAATATTTGAGCCGTGAATAGTTGAATTCTGGGTAAACATTTTGAAGAAAACTCCGTTCAAAATAATCTGTGGCTATAGTAGTAAAGCTAAAGCAACTTATTAACATGCCTAATAGACTTATACATTAGTTTTGAACACAGAATTCTACACTTAATAGAATTCTGCGGTTGTGAATGAACTTCTGAAACTAAATAGCCTACATGTAATAAAGGTGCTGCACAAATGTGCTCTTTTGAGTAACTATAACAAAAGCAATGATGATGATGATGATGATGATGATGATGATGATGATGATGATGATGATGATGATGATGATGATGATGATGATGATGATGATGATGATGACGACGA